AAGGATCATACCATTCCTACGTACCTATCGTAAGGTACACTTCCTATGTATGTATCATAGGATGTATCGTCAGAGGTCCGAGGATCGTAAGAGGTCTAAGATACTMYTCAAGAATACCTCACGAAGAATAGAGATGTCACGAGTCCRGAATAGAGAAGCTTCATGTAGAATCCCTACCAGGTCTACATGAGCTTCTGATCAGAACTTCGGAATTCTHRTGAACGCGCTTGGTAATCTTCGAATAATTCTAATCTTATAATTTCAATTCTCATACACACTTAACACCTGCTACTAAGAGTACACGTAATCTCGTGCAAAAAATCTTGATTCTTTATGATCTTTGTCCCCATACTCTTTCTGTACCAGCATGTTGAATTTACAATACAGTTAATAAAATGAACATACTAGTGCGTTTTAGGTTCTTCAGGGTTCCTCTTCTCATCTTTCCATGATTCAAAAATTCTTCTATGATGGAGATAATTACCTGCCTACTAGTTGTATCCTCCTCATTTCAATTTGTTTCTTTATGAAATTATTGTCCTAGATAACTTCCAACCCACCAAGTTTGGAGGATATTACAACAAGAATAGATACATATAGACCAGAAAAATCATGGCCTTCTTTTTGATTGTTGATAAGAGATGGGTGCTGGCAAGTTTTGTTTTTGGAAAATTTCTGTCTGACTGACAAGACAACAGAGCACCATACTTTGAGCAAGATGCCCAATTATTTTAGAAACTGACAAGCCCCCTGTGTTCAACACAGAACCACACAATAATAGCTAAACTAACTCAACACCAGCTTGCAGTGCCTAGCTGATGCATATACAGACATTCACCAGGTGTGGCAAAGTGAATGTTGTGATGATTTGAACCAAATCAGAGACCATGAAATACATTCTTGATGCCATCATGGTGTGACTGATTGTTGAAGTATTTTATCTTCACTTCTGGACTAGGGTCAGGAAAGGAGTGGAAGTCCTATGGTGTCTACTTGGTTTCATTTTCTTGAACAGAAGGAATATTTATATTTGCAGAATAGTAGCAATTGCAATGCCTCCTGCACATTCCAACAACACCCTTATTAAAGGAGCCATATTTTCCACAAAGTTTGTCATGCAATTCTGTATCCCCAATAGTATATGCAATAGAAATTCTACCTTCCACTGTTTAGCTGCATACCAGAGGTGGTCCCAGTTTATTCCAGAACCTTTGTTACATACTACATCTCTACTAGTAAATGGATTGAGAGAGCTGCTTCTACTACTTGTAGTACTAGTACTAGTACTAGTACTAGTAGTAGTAGTAATGGTACTGCAACTCCTGTTACTAGTGGTACTACTACTAGTAGTGCCACTAGTATTATTATTGTTACTTGTGATGGTAGGAGTACCACAACTACTAGAACTACTAATAGTGGGAGTATTTCCACCAGCCACTTGTTGTTGCTTTAATGCATACTATGAAAAAGGTAAGCTAATTATGAATGTGATACTTGACAAAATGGTATATTCAGAATCCTCATAAAAAATTKGTGTAGAAAGTGTCTTCAAAAACTATATAATTACTATTTTTGATGAAGTTATGACTTCGTAAAAATTAGAATTATGAATTCCTCCAGCTGATTTTTTAATTTTGGGACCGAGGATGGAATATGATTTTTCGAATCGATGCGCACCCCCTCTAAATTGATGACCCCTGTTAGCAGCAGGGTCAGGAGATAGCTTTGGGGCGCTGTATCTGTACCTGTTATACCTTGTTTAAGGGGTGAATTCACTGGTTTCATTAGTCTCATCGCCGCTTGCTGAAGAATGAGCCTCAAGGCTTTGTTGCTTCTGCTGGGTGTGTCGTTGCCTGTCCGTCGCTCCCAATACTCTCACTAATAACATCAAATAATTTGTTTTCCAAGCATCAATCTTCGGAGGTAACCCACGTTGTCCCCGTACGATAAGTTTTGGTCTTCGTCACAATCATCAATTTTGGTCGTGTTGTTTGTTGTCATGGTTGTAAATGGCGTTAGTGCTGCTGCTTTTGCTGTTGCTGCTCTTGTTGCTGCCATGACTGCTGGTACTATTGTTGCTCCGGGTGCTCATCATCATGCTCGCTTGTAGACCCTGGCGCTTACCTTCTTCGCTGCTGCCCCACGCATTGGCGACCCACGAGAGCGGCCCGGTAGAGTCGTCGTTTTGCATGGACTGGAACATATGGGTGCTGCTACTCTGGAATTTGTCCTGCCGCTGACGGCTGGTCGCCATTTTAAGGGCCTTCCTGAACTTGCGGTACTCACCCACCTTGTATTCAATCTTGCAGAAAATTTGCTTCTGATCCTTCATCTCGGACCACCAGCCTTGCTCGTTCCATATTAAGAACCGACCACCAGATTCTCTGATCTCAGACACCAGTTCCTCTACCGTATTACGTCGATTCATCCGATGATTGGAATGGGTGGTCAGCTCAGCCTCCTGCTCAGCGTTTTTAAGCTCAATCAGACCCCGGAGGATGTTATTTCCAGCGTGCCCCATGAGGCTCTTCCCCTGACGAAATATCACGTCGTTGACCAGCGGGCACTCCATGATGTCAGTCTGGCCATCCTCGATGGCTTCACGAACGTGCAGCCACTGCTTGTGGTATGATGTTCGTATTTTGCCCTCTGAGATGGGAATGTCGGTTGAGGGGATACCAAAAGTCTGTAGTGCGTACCTCAGTTCCATCGACGACCCTTTTGGTTAGTTGGTATGCAAAGCAAAACGAAAAAAAGCAAAATGCAAATGATGTTCTATTCATTTGAGACTCTGATGAAAATCAGAACACTCAATACGCATACGAAAGAACCTACCGAGGTGGACGATCATTTTCGATCGCTCCTTTTTCTTGAACCTTATGGCTACGATGTTCCGACCCCACCGAAACATCGGCGTGTCTGGGGAACAAATGTGAATGGCGCTCGTTCGCACCGTGGTCAGATCAGCAAGTTTCACGGGAAGGATGTAGTGCTCCTTCCTCATGGACAGCTTGAAATTGGCGTCGAACCACACTGCATACACCAGCCCCGACCGCTGTGTCTCTTCGTCGTCTCCAGCCGTCCAACTCAAGTACAAATATATTTTTGCCTGTGTGCGCATGGACAGTGTAAATACACAGAAAAAGAATATTTGAGAGAGGCCGAACACGAGTGAGGGCAGGGTGCCTCGATTTCATGCAACGATACATAACATATTGGGTATTGCATCAAATAATTCAGCAATGGTTAGCTCGATTCAGATTCGCTCAAGGCCATTCGATGCGATGCGATTCAATTCGATTCATTTACCTTTAATACAGGTGGAAACGTCTCGTAGACATTGTTCAGAAAGTTCACAAGGATCCTCCGTCCGCTCCGATCCCGAAAGGGTAGGTACTGTAGGTGTCCCTTGCGGATGTACTGCTGCTCACGCTTCGGAAAATCGCTCAATCGGATCGGTCGCTGCAGGGCGAACTCGCCAAACATTTCCAGGAGGACCTCCACGAATTTCACTATCTGCCTTGCAGCTCTTGAAATGTCAAAGAACTCGAGCCGTAGAAACCTGAGTTTAAAGGCATCGCTGGAGATATACGAAGGAGGGTTTGTGAAGCTCCGGCTCCTCAGGTAGGCTCTTTTTTGTTCCGGGGGTATGATTGCGTCATTGTTCAGTTCTTCTGCGAGTTTGACGAGAGAGTTGCGGACAAGTTCTGGCGTTTCGCTCCGCGCAAGGTTTCGGACACCATGGATTTCTTCGCGGACCTTATTTCGCTCCTCTACCGACATAGAGAGGAGCGCTTTGGATACGAGCTTGTCGCAGGCTCGGGGACTGCCATTATTATCCTCTGAGCTTTCATCGCTTAACATACTAACACTACTGCAGTCAAGTGATTAACTTGCGTTGGATTGGTTTGGTTTGAATTTTTTGTGGCTTCTCAGTGATTTCTATCAATAATGCACTTCATGGAGATTTCGAAGGATTATGCAGGGCACTCTGGAATGACGTCAATAGCGATGGCATAAGATAGGGAATTATGTTGCCCGTGTCATCCTCCGACACTTTCCTCGATTCACGTTCAAATATCTTTGTTCATTTACTTCTAGTCTATTCCATTCTGTTCCGATTCACTAATTTTCGGCTGGCACATAAGGGACTCGGATTTAATCTCTGCCAGCTAAGAATCATAGATCGTACCGTTTTAATCGTACCGTTTTGATCGTACGGATTTATTGTTTGGCCCGGGTATAAATTTTGTTGAAAGATCGTAACATAAGGGACGCTGCTGAACTGACTCGCAAATTTTCACATTCCTTTATCACTTTCGGTCTGTGTGTATATTGCTCACAGTCCAACGTTCTGTGGTCTTTTTTTAAGGAACTCTGATCCTTAAAGTTAGAATCGAACAAAAACAACTAATGCCCCATTTTGGACATTCGACGATTCCATTCTCATGCTTTCTTATTCATTGGAAGTACCTACTGCGCTTAATTACAAATAATGTGATGAAATGGCAGGCGATCAAATAACACACTTAACGGACACTCAAGAAGAAACCATTAAAGACAATAAGTACATTAAATAAATTTGATGATAGGTCGAAAGCCATCGGCGTCACAAAATTTCCTTTGGATTTGGTACAATTTTATGGGAAAGAAGCCTCTTTTATTGTTTTTAAGATAGACGTACTGCGAAGAGAGGATTCCGCACTTAGCGGTCTAGGGAATACGGACAAGGTATTGGGCTCTTCGGAATTTCAACCCAGAGCACGATTGTTCATTTAGGCAAGAATGTCATTTAATGTCGATTTTTGGGTCAATTTAGAGTTAGGGATAAAACAAGAATCAAGCAATTTGATTGGCTAATAATATGGATTTGATGTGAATAAGAAAGAGCAATAATATATTGTTTTGACGAGTTTGATTCAATTATAGAATTTCATTCACGAGTGAAGACAGATCAAATGTTGTGTTTTCACTAGTACTAGTTTGAATAGTTTTTGGACGAGTTTTGACTAGTGATTGACATGACCTCTAAATTAATGTCAATGTTCTAAATTGACACCCTGAATAGTCATGAGAGGAAGAATCAGAAACAGCTTTTTTCCAGCAAGTACCATGAACTACTAGTAGCTAGTAGTACGTCACACAAACCGGTACTATGGTACGTTGTTTTTCCTGGGTACATAAAATAAAATTCGCGCGTGTATTTTGTGATGCTAGCACGCAATTATCTGGTCGTTTTCCTTGGAACATGTTCTGGTACCTCTCATTTCTCATGTGGAGTTCGATGCCCTTTCTCATGCTCGAAATCAATTCTTTTTCCAAGAAAATATTATCATATTCGGAGACGAATTGTCTCAACCGTTCAAAAATTATCTCAACCATTCAAGAATTATCTCAACCATTCAAAAAGTACCATGTGTCGTCACAAAAATATTTTTGCTACTTCATCAATTCTGCAGGTTGGTTTTCAATTCCTCTTTCTTTATGCCAACTCTTCGGAACCCAGCGGCACTCCTCCTGATTAGCGGGTTCGTAGAAAACATCATCGTCCAGATCAGAATCGACGGATTCCATTGCAGAGTCTATTAACACACGATCAACTACTTCCACGGATGGGTTGTACATAACTTGGTCGTCGAGATTCTGCGGCATGCCACTAGATGGTCCGTCCAGGGTATTAGTTAAACAAAACCGCTGGCTAAGGCTGATCTTTTCCTTAGAAGTTTTGAACAACGACGAACTGAAGTCGTGGGTCCCGTCCCCGACATACACGTAATATTTGAAGCAATCCTTGCTGAGATGAAGATGAGTGAGTAGCTTTGGTGACATGATAACGCCGGATTTTTTGTCATTCTTGTTGGCACTGTAAAATACGGGACGTTGGTTCTTCCGATCTCTTTTGCCGTGACAGTTTTGACAGAATACCTTTAGCTTAGGGGGGGGCATGATAAAGAACAAAGCTAAGTTCCAAGCAGAGGATGAGTTTTCTCATGCTTTGGAAGTAAAATTATGCTKGTTTTCGGAAACATGTTCTGGATATATGAAGTTGTGCGGGAACTTTCTAAACTATTATCCAATCATGAAAGACTAAGGGTTGACCCTGAAACTTCGATGGTGTCAACCGCGTGAAATGCGCAATACCATAGATCCGGTTTGTGTGACGTAGATCCCTGACTACTAGTTTCTTGTTGTTGACTAGTAAAGTAGACTGTTGCTACAAGGAGCAAAAGCAAGAACAATCATCTGTATCATCTAATACTACTACATACTAGGCTTACTACTAGTAGTATGTGTCCCCCACCTATGAATTTGGGGGTGGCAAGGGAAACTATTTCTCTAAATTTCAGTTTTTGCTACAACAAATCAAATAAAAATTGACTTTAGAGGAGGGTGCAACAAGTACCTTAGGAACAGTAAGGAGGACCACTCATGGATCTAATCATGAGTCCCTGGGACAGAAAACTATATATATATATAGTATATAGGTCAAAAGCTAAGTAGTACTACTAGTATACAAGTATTATATACTAGTATACTATATCATACTATACTGTATACTAGTACACTAAATTGAAGCATCATCTATATATATATATATATATATATATAGTTCAGAATTTATTTGCATATAGATCTACTTCCTCTTTACTAGTTCTCAGAGGGAGAAATAGAATTCAGAACAGAACTAGTCGATTGGGAGTTCTATTCTAAAGTCTCTCAGTACAATCAGTACTGAGACCTATGCCATCCAAGAACTATGGAATTGAGTACATACTTGATTAGTACTGCTCAGATGTACATTTCTACTATTGATTCCCCTATCTCCGCCCCTTGGCTGGAGCAGCTAGGAGCATACTTTCCAACACAAGCTATGGTTCTGGCCAAATACTAGCGCCTATTCTAGTTCATGAGGTTAAAAATAATATAAAGATTTTTTATTGATTCCCCTATTGATTGCAAGCAAAAGTATTGCAAAGGATCAGCACAACACAAGGAATCATGTAGTGGTGAATCCTTTGAGCAATTCAGTTTATTCAGTAGTTTTAGTCTCACAATCCTAATTTGATAACAATCTTAATACTACTACTACTACTAGTAAAACAATTCAGTACATGTTATTTCATGCAGAAGGGATACAAATCAGATTCAATTTTGATTTGTTAAAGTCATTTTTTTGTAACTTTCCTAAATCCTATTGTGAATATTTGATACTACTACTAGTAGTAGACCTCCTGCTGATAGGGCTATCACATAGTGACTATGTATCTACTAGTTATATAGTATCAACTTTGTTTCTAGTATGTCCAGCAAGAGATATTTCTTTTGCTATTGCGCCCCCACAGTTGACAACTTAAAACGGAAGGTGTTGCTCATTTTTAATTTTCTTCATAATGTCATTAAATTTAATTCATTTGTGCAGGTCATGTGCACCAAATAAAACTCCATTTATGAATGAAAATTTTCCAAGACCCACGATGAAAATAAAATCTGGTCACTATCATATCATGACACCCCCCAAAAGACTCCTTTGTCAACTTTTTACTATTGTCACCACATCCTTTCTCCAGTCACGAATTCTATTTTCCAAATATAAATTCTGATAAATGGAATATTACTCCCAATCCTTTTCTAGTATTCTGGACAACTGTTCTATACTAGTACTAGTAAAATAAACAGATTCTTGCAATTCTCAAAATATGTAAAATATACCACTATTGAGTTCCAATTTTAATCTAGATCCTCTTCTTTTTCTGTTCCTTCTTCATCAGACAAACCTGGTATGTTACCCAAACCATCCTCAAGCAGAGAAGCTCTCAATGCTTGATCAATATGAATAGCTACTATGTTTGTTCTTTTTTGTCTGTTACTACTACTTCCAGTCTTGTTCCAGTAGTATTGCTGATAATAGCTACATATCCTGTAATTACCACTCTCCTTCATAAACCTCTCTCTCATCTTTGTCTTGTCCAACTCCTTCCTTGTAGTAGAATCCTTGCATAGCTCTACTACATTCTCACATAGTAATTCATTGAGCAAGTCCTTTCCTTCCTCTATCCAACCATCACTATTGCCACTGTCAGCGTTGCAATATCTTATTTTCTGATATGGATCTTGGGACTTATCTTCATCTGATTCTGGTTCTCCAAAACATGGTGTTCATTTAAGTTCATTGAAGATCAATATGAAAGCAAATGCCTCATCAGTAACTGAGAAGATCTCGCTGAGCAAATCTTTGTCTTTCCTTTTATTGAAGTTGTTACTTTTTGCTGGATTGATGGCAGACAAGATTCTGTTCACAAAAAAAAAGAATTCATCCTTCTTGTATTTCCTGTAGTCAGGATTTATGCTCCCCACCAGCCACTATAGTCTGGATCTTCAACTACCCCAACAGTACCTGGGAAGGAGGCTGCTGGTACTCTGTTCTTATTATAATCAGCTGTGTTCATGTAATGAATCATAGGAAGTAAAAACACACTTGTTGAGTTAGCAGGGAAAACGATTGTACACAAAGGAAACCAAAAAGCAACTTCTTACCCAGCCAGTTTTTCCAAGCCAAGGTTTGTGAATTATGTCACAATGTGCCAAGTACCATGTTGACCACCTTCTTTTAAATAATTCAAGGGATGCTGCTAGGGTGATATCATTTTGAATGTTGACCCTCTCCATATCAAGAACTCCCTTCTTCATGATGTGAGCAGAAACTTTGTTATTGACAATAGGGAACTTCACCTTGTCATACCAACTTTTTTTACAAAACCTTTCAGTTGCCCTTCCACCACATCATGCAGAAAGGATGACAGACTTGTTGCTTCTAAGTTAACTTAATTTCTCAGGTTCTTCTTCTTTGTTGTGGGTCAACTCTTCTAGTACTTGTGGCTTCTGTTGTTTTTGTGGTTCACTGTGCTGCTCCTGTTTTACAAGCTGCTCCTTCATTATTTGCTGCATCATCTGAAGCATCATTTGTTGGAAGCTGCAATAACACAATTGTTATTGCCAGCAGCAGTGTTACTGCTACCATTGCTAGCAGTGGCTGGTGTGACTTTTGGAGAAGAAGCTTTTTTATCCTTCTGGTTTCTTCCATCCTTGTTTGTGCAAGCTCTTGTTGGTTGTCTCTTGCTTCAGGAGTGTGATGAGAAGATGAAGTATTAACAGTGGAGTTTTTGTTCCCCACATTGGGACCATCTGTTGCAATGGAAGTTCTTGTTGGCTGTGACATGCATGGTTGAATGCTTTGTAGCACTCCTCTTGTTACTAGCTGTTGGCTTGGTGATACCTTTATTACTAGTAGTTCTAGTAGTGGTATTCTTCTTGGGCTTCATAGTACTGTAATCTGGCTTGGGGAGGCCCTTACTACCACAGCATAGAGTTCTTGGTGGATCTTTCTGTTTTGTCATGCCAAGACCAGCACTATTTATGTGTGCTGCAGAACCATGTTTTTTTTTCACAAAACAAATTTTTATGTTTGGGCACAAAAAGAGTGCATTGAGTTTTTTTCTGCTGTGCTGCCACACTGTTTATCTGTTCTCTCTCTATGTCCTGCCATAAATAATGTACATTTGTTACGGCTGGCCTACATTCCATGCAAGCCAACCAGGCCATGTCACTTATTGCAAGAATGATTGGACATGGTCTCCTTTTTTCACTCAATCAAACCAATTTACAAGAAACCCAACTTACACCCTACTGCAGTCTGTGCAAAGTCATACAGGCACTGGAGGTGTTGATGGGTCATGCTGAAAGGGACAAGAGACACTCTGGTCATCCCAACAGTCTAAAGCATCATTCAAGACTTGTTTGCAACAAATTGTTATCATGACAAGAATGCAAAGAAGTGAACTGGATCCAGAAAGTGAATGCTGGGTTTCATATATGGGGTGGTTAGGAGTTGAATCCTATCCAGCAGCAAGTTGATCAGCAAGTTCATGATGATCTGCCTCCTCTTCCCAAGCTCTTCCAATAACATCCCGTCTTTGATTCTTGAGAATTACCCTTGAATTATCCTCATGCCCCAGCATTTGGACATCTGTCTCAAGAATGTCACATCCATATTCAACAGAAGAAGATTGTACTTCTTAGGATCCTTCTGCTGTGAGCTCTTGATGAGGATGTGTTGTTTTTCCTTCAATTCAAATGCTGAGTCCACAACATCCTTTGCATTGCACAGGTTGTGGACCTCACCAACTCAGTCATATACACTATGGCTACTATCAATAGCATAGTCATGCAAGGCCCTGGGGCACCATTTGAAGACTGAGATCCTGGTGATCCTTCCATCAGGGGCAAGAAAAGACAAAKATACTGTCAATGAAGGTATTTTCTTGTTTCCAGGAATTGTAAAATGTTCTTTGTTGTTTAATCCAGTCTTCAGAGACTTTAATGGCATTCTTGAGTCCATAAGCTGCAGCCCAAAGGTGTTCATCTCCATGTTGGGTTTACAGGAATACACATTTTTGGGCCTAGTAGAGATTGGTGTCCTAAACATGTGTTTTTGGAATCTCGAGTTTGTTGCTTGTTTAAATACTAAGAAGAAAGAAGAAGTACTACTACTAGTAGTAGTAGTGGTACTACTACTAGTAAACAAAAAATTACTTGCCATCATGGGGGTTATTCCCACCACTAATTACTTTTTAAACCACAGATTCCAGTCCAGAAATCCAGACAGTGGAAGTCGAGGGGGGGGTCCCATCTTCTGGGTACTTTTTTGGACCCAGAATAGGTAGTATCTAGGCTCCTCCAGTCTAGGTTTCTGGGTTTTCGGGAATGACCCAATGATACTCAGCGACAGAACCTAGTTAGTCGAGTGAGTCAGTAGATTATGTTAAATTCAACAAACACGTTTGGAGTGACGCATCATTCATCCATCATACGGTACTGTACGTGTGAACCATCCCAATCATGAAGAAAGAACGGTAAGGAAAGATGTAGCGTACTACTTAACTACAAGGACGCTACTGCATGATAATTGGCTACTGTATTTCGTTGGATTACGTACGTACCGTACAGTATCGTATGATTTGTTGTTGGATCGGATTTGATTTTGACTCTAAGGGATGATGACGACCACGATGGTGCTGTTATGCTTCAGGAGCAACAACCGAATATGTGTGAAGAGCGCGAACGATACCAGTCGCCTGCTTCCCAGAATAGACTGATTTATTTTCGGCGGTAACGGGACGTATATTTATTTGTTGTAACGGCAACAGACAATCCTCAACACACACCATGACGAAACGATCCTCGATTGTTGCCTGCCTGCTATTCCTCTTGGGAACTTCTACCGCCGCCGCTTGGACTCCGCCTGTCGTGGTTCCATCTGTTACACATCACACGGGAAAGGCCGCTGCGCAACATCAATCCCAGTTTCAGCATCCCCATGATGCTTTGTCGGAGCACGTTCAAGAATGGGTTTCGAGCCGAGGGCAGACAGTGAACGAATGGTTCGGGGTTCCACCCGCCAATGCCGCCGAAGCATCGGGGCCGCCCACCAAGAACGAAATTCTGACCCTTCAAAAGGCCTTTGCGGCGTTTTATGGCACCCAGCGAGATCCAGAGGCAGCCCTGCCACTTCTGGACGAATCCGTCAAAGCCTTCGAGAGACAGCCCGCCGACGAACGCGCGGGATTGTACCGGGTTCGGGGGGATTGCAAAATGGCCCTGAAGGATCCGGTGGCGGCCGTAGAGGATTATTCGATGGCCATTGACTTGCTGAAGCTTCCCGAGGCAAAGGAAAAGGCTGATCCCGCCGAATTACCGGCATCGACGTGAGTGTTCGTTTTATTGTTCGTTCTTGTTGTTTTCATAGCTTGTTTTTGTTGATGCGATTGGATTTAGTTCCACGTAAAAAGACCCTGATGCGAGAAAAGATTATAGCCTTGCAGTGCCCAGAATTCACGACACGGGCTGACACGGGCTCCTTTTTCTTTATGTACAAATCTATGAATGGTATTCGAAAGACTCGGACGGGCCCGTGCTATTCGCAGCCTAGGAGCCAGGGCGACACCCGAGCAGGCCAAGAGTGCTGTCGGCGATTACAAAGAAGCCTTGATCCTGAACTCGAGAGACGACTGGGATACGGAAGCGGAACAAATCGAGGACGGGGCCAAGACCAATCCGTATGCGGCCTGGGAATATGGAATGGCCCTGAGGCGCAACGGGCAGTACGAGGAAGCCAAGGCGATGCACACGTTCACGAGCGACCTCTTTGATTCCATCGGGGATCGGCCACGTTCCGTCATCAGCTTGCTGGACGCCGGAGTCGATGCCGCGAGTGCGGAGGCCGCAGGATCGGCTTCCAAGGGTGGCGAGGACGCCAAGAGCCTCTTGAAGAGGGCCATATCCTACACCACCACGACGGAGAGCCGGGATGTGTCTCTCTTGCAACGCGTCGTAGCCAAGGAGGGGGAGGGACGAATCGTGCTGGCGGCCATCGAGTGGGCCGACAAGGACAAGTCACTCCGGGCCGACGCCGAGAAGGAATTGTCGACCGCGTGCGAGCGACTGGACCAGCTCGAACAGGATGCCTTGTCGCGGGGAAGAAAGGCTCCCTCGTCCACCTCCACGGCACTAGCGGTGAGGTTCAACATCGACGACTACCCCGGTGCGCTCGAAACATCTTGTTCCCGCATCACAAAAAACCGAGATTTTCAAAGAGATCGGTTGGAACTCCCGGATCTGTTGCAAGAAAAGATTCAAAAACTAAATCAATTGAAATAAATATATAGGTTCTGAAGAGTTAAGGATATTTGTTTGTTTTGGGTATGTGGCGTGTGGTAGTACCATCAGATATTTTTATGATCGCCGATAGCAACTGTTGAGGCTTTGACACTCACTATTTGCAACACTATTGAACTACATTTCTTCGCGAAGGCAGGGATGCCATGCACCGGAAGAGAAGATTTTGCTTCTTTTTATGTTTCGTTGTTTCCGTTCGGAGGGCAGACGACATCCTCCGTGATTGCCATGGTCTTTTGTGTCGTCCGAATCGAAGCCCGAACCGTCGGTTCCGGAAGAGAAGATTTTGCTGCTTTTTATGTTTCGTTGTTTCCGTTCGGAAGGCAGACGACATCCTCCGTGATTGCCATGGTCTTTTGTGTCTGCTTTCCCMCAAAGGTTTCGTCCGAATCGAAGCCCGAACCATCGGTTCCTTTTCCTTCGAGATTTTCGTTGCACGTGGCCACTGTGTCCCCATCGTCCGGATTCTCTTCGTCTTCTTCGATATCGTGTAGATAGGTCCGGGGCTTCTGCTGGCGGAATTCCTTGCAACAGTACAGGAGAAAGAGAAACCCGATCGCGAGCAGGGCGACGAGGCCCGCGTACTTCAGAGATGACGATTTTACCAGCTCCATCTGCCGGGATCTTTGTCGGTTCTTTGGCTCTTTTGTTTGCAGCAGCAATGCCCTAGTGGATTCGGTTGGGGTTGGCGGGGGTGCCTTGTTTCATTTGCTCGATGCAAAAAACTTTTGGTATCGAATTAGCGGATCCTTCGACAAATCGGAAATGGTGCAACACGCAACCAACAGCAATGCACGTGTCTTCTAGTTAATGAAAATTGAGATTGACATGCGCATGTCAATTTGCGAGCCAATTAAGTGGTTCTTTGAAAAAAGAGAACCAAATGAGTGGGATGGGGAGAGATAGATCATTAAGGAAAAGATTGAAAAGGATTGGCGAAAGTCGAGCAATTATCCCATCCGAGGAGCCAAAAATGTCGCAAAATGAATAAATAAGCGCTTAGGTAGAATCTATGACACATTAAAAATATCCATATTGAGTAGTTTTTTAAGTTCACGGTCATCGTTCATCATAATTACAAAGCCGACTTAATAGCATAATAATTATTGCCTAAATAGCGATTAGCAATAGAAGTACTTCATTAAATTTAATGAACAGATTTTTTATTGTTACACCTTTGAATACGCCATAGTAATAAATAAATTTTGTTCTTCATACCAAACTTCCTCTCGGTTCCTAGAAAAAGTTTTCTATCAAAAGTGCGACAGACCACGAAGATAAACTGTCACAGTGACATTTAAAAAAAAAGAATGCTCCCGTTCGGCTCGATAAAAATTCGATCGTTTCTACGGTACGTACAAGCAATTGCGTTGCCGTCCGATGCGCAACGGAATCGGTACGGTGTGGTACGTAGTAAGGTACTTCGAAGCGAAGCACCAGGCAGGAACCCCTTGTGGGTTTTATCCCAGCACGGTTCGGTTGGGAAAGTAACGAATGTTGGCTGCCAGTTGCGTTTTCAAGAGTGCTCGTTGTTGCACTTTTGCTACCGGTGGATTCAGAATCGCTAGGCACAATACATATCGTATCTGCAAGTCGTTTGTTTTAGCGTTGCGTGACTGGAGAGAATGTTGGTTGGTTCTGTTCGCTCCCTCCTTCGCTCGCTCGATCGATCGTTGGTTTCCTGGTTGGTTTGTTTTCCCGCCCTGCTAGCGGCAGCCTCCGGCACGCGGCATTGGCACCGGCCGTGGCGCTTCCAGGAACGGCGATCCGAGGGCCTGGGCCGCCGTCCACCGGTTGGCCGGATCGTATTCGAGCAGCCGCGCCAGGAGGGAGAGCCCCTCGGGCGGGAGGTCGTCCTGGAAGCGGTCCCAGAGCGAGAGGCAAGGGGGCGAGCTTCCCTCCCCCGGACCCCTGCGCCGGGGGGCCCGGACCGGGTGCGAGTGCGAGTCCCACGAGTACAGCCGCGACGGAGGGTCCCCGATGGTTTCCACCATTCTGGCGACCTGGTCGACCTCGGAGGTCCCGTCCAGCAGGGGAAAGCCCTGCAGGAGCTCGGCGAGAACGCACCCGGTGGCCCACAAATCGATGGGGAAGGAGTAGCCGAGAAAGGCTTTGCGGCCCGCGGCGGGCAGGGAAGCCGGATCCGAACCGTTGGGATCCTTCGTCCCCCGCCGTCCCGCGAGGGGCAGGAGGAGCTCGGGGGCCCGGTACCAGAGGGACACGACGCCGGGGGTCATGGCCGTGTCCGCATGAACCTCCGCGTCCGTGTAGGTCCCGCCGCTGCTCAGCGATGCCGTGCAGGTCCGGGAGAGCCCAAAATCGCAGAGCTTGAGGGTTCCGCTGGAACGGTTGTAGAGGAGGTTGCTCGGCTTGACGTCCCGGTGCACGATGCGGTGCCTGTGGCAGAATTCGAGGGCGCTCAGGAGCTGTGCCGCGAGGGACCTGGTCTGGGAGAGGGAAAAGGGGGAGGAGGCGTGTTTGGATTTCGCGTTCGAGCGGGAGTTGTAGTAGTAGCCGTTGTTGCGTTGCTGCCGATTGCGGTCGTTCTCGCCCCGTCGAACTCCGCGGTCCCTCTTCGTTCGCTGCTCCCGGTCGAAGCGGTGTTTGTCGTAGTGCTCGTCCAGGATCTTGGCCAGGTCGCAGTCGCAGTTCTCAAAGACCAAAAAGACGCTGCTGCCGCTGCTTCCTTGTTGCTGCTCTTTCGGCTGCGAGACGGAGACCTCCAGGAGGTCCACCACGTTGGGATGGGACGCACAGGTCCGCAGGGCGTGGATTTCCCGGAGTGTCGTGACGGGGAAGCCGTCCGACGCCTCGTGGTGGGCGTAGCATTTCTTGAGGGCCACGGTGGTGGTCGTGCGATTCTCGGTGGTCCTTGCCGTGGTCTCGTTCTTGTTCTTGTTCGCGATGTCTGTCTGCTCCCCGTCCCTCGCCCTCCACTTGTCCCTGGCCCGGTAGACAACCCCGTAGGTCCCCTCGCCGATCCTCCCGTCGCCCAGCTTGCGGTACCGGTGCGATACCTCCGGGCACAGACCGCGGTACTTGTACTCGTGCTCGTACTCGTGGCGGGCGGAACAAGAACCGGCTGCCTCGCTGTTTTCGCTGTCTCTTGTGGTAGTCCTGGTCCTGCCGCTGTCGCGAACACCGTTCCCGTCCGTGGTCTGTTTGCGGTGGCTGAGAGGCAGATCTTCCTTGTCGTCTTTTGTTCCTGCGTTGTTGTTGTTGTTGTTGTTGTTGTTGTTGTTGTTGTTGCTGTTGTTGTTGTTGTTGTTGTTGTTGTTGCTGTTGTTGTTGTTGTTGTTGTTGTTGTTGCTGTTGTTGTTGCTGTCTCCTCGTTCCGGTTTGTGTTGGTGCCCCGACCTCGCTGGTTCGGAACGGGGCCGTTTTCGATTTTTTCGCTTGGCCTGCTGCTCCATGACAGTGCTTGCTTGCGACCCGCCGTGGGTGGAGGTTGTGTCGTTCGTTCGTTCCTTCCTTCCTCCGTCCGTTGCTGCTAGTTTGTGGCAAGGAATGGATCGCCGGTGGACACGGTTGGTCTTCGAACGACCCGCGATGCGTGCGAGGTGTCACGAGGTTGTGTTTGTTGTGGTTTGTTTGCAGTTGTTGGTGTTGATGGTTGGTGTTGGGGTTTCGTTTGATGTCCTTCTCCAACCAAAATCTATTTTGGTTCAGAGCAGAACAGCATGTACATATGTATTTTATCTATGTATCGTACCTATTACAAGACGCCCCGAAATCGCGCAGCGTGCGCGTGCTTCTGGGTCTTGCGTCCCACGCACGCACGTCGGAAGCAGACGCCGGTCTCTGGACGGGACCCAACGCATCGTGTTTTGTAGCACACTAACTAGCTCAGTGCGGTGTTTCGTACCGTGCGTATGGAATGGCAGCCCTGCACACCATGCTTCGACTCCGATGAATTTAAAGACGCGGTGTGGCCGGGCAATTCTCCCTTGCGATAGTAGAAGTACGTACTCTACGTACGCATGTAGTCGGGCTCGCTGCGCTGCAATGCCGGCGATCGTTGTTGGGAGGGGGCACGAATACGAGTACTCGTATTCTCGTAATATTGTACGTACGGTACAGCAAGTAGCAGAATTCCTTGGCTGCATTTGTTGGAGTCGTGCGGCGAGAGGGATGCTCCGGGGAAACCAAAACCACTGTTTGGTTCTTCCCCAGGCTCAGTCGTTCGATGGTTCAGTGACAAAAATAGCTGCGGTCGTTTCTTGTTCGAAGCCGTTCTAGAAACTCCTTCGAGCCACACACGGTAACTCCGCTGCCACGGGACGGCACGACGCGGCACTAACTCTGTTGCAAACACTCTGAGACGACAAATCGACGGTATCGTACAACAACAACAACAACAACAACAACATCAACAACATCAACAAAAACAACGAAAGCGACAGCAACGTCAAACGACACACCGCTTACGAGACTCCTCACAAAACAACCCTTGTCGGACCAAAGACCAGCAAAACAAAAACCCTAGGTACCGGAAGAAGAAGAAGCATCGTCCGTTTGTTCTCCGTTTTAGCCGAGTCGATCCAACGGAACTCCCAAAGGCCTTGCTTCTCGATCGAAGGGACAAGCGAAGCAACTAGAATCTCATTTGTCAAAGACACGAGTCTGTGCGAACAACCATGAAGCTCTTCAAGAGCAGCAAGAAGAAGAACAAGGGGCTCGCCGACGGCAGCGAGAAGGAAAAGAGGCGGTCCTCCCTTTTCGGAAAGGGCAAGAAGCAAAAGCAAAGGGCCGGCCGAACCAGCGGGATCCAGAGCACCCCCTTTCCCGACGAGGCGGACGATGCGGTTACGGCCCGGACGTCGGTCCTCTCTCCGGCCTCCTCCTCCGGCGGACGAAGCAGCCCCGGATTCGGCGACGCCCACCGGCCAGCCCTTGGACACTGGGAAGGCCACGACCACGACCACTCCGGCAGCAGCAGCCACTCGAACGGCGACAAGAACGTCGGCAACAACGTTCACAACGACGACGACGACGACGACGACGACGAACGCTTCCTCGCAAACCTGCTGCTGGACGAAAGCGACCACAGCGGAGAGGGAGAAGCTCCCGGAGCCGGCATCCCCTCCTCGAGCGGCCTCCTCGAGAAAATCCTGACCCACCTGACGGAGCAAGAGCACAGGGAATGGGCCGCCGGCGCGGGCGACGACAACAACGACGATTGCGACGAAAAAACCCGCGGCAACGACGAGCCAGCCGAGAAAGGCCTCCGGCAGATGCTCCGGCGGACGGTGGACTGCATGGACCACGAGCCGCACGACCTGCTCGTCCAGCAGCACGGCACCCGCATCGTCTACAAGCTGGCGAAGAAGCTGTTCTTGCGCCGCCGCGAGAAGGAGCAGAGGAAGGCAAGGCGGCGGAGACGGGAGCGGGACCTGCGCTGGTACGAAGACGACCATGGTGGCGATGGAAGTGGCGATCGCACTGGCAAACAGAAAACGAGCCCGGAGCCCAGCGACAACAACGACCACGACGACAACGACGACGACCACGACGAATACCAAGAAGAAACGAACGAGCTGATTCTGGACGCCTCGGACACGATCCTCCAAGCCATGGAAGACTTTCCGGACGACGAGGCCTTGCTGGAGGATTCCTGTCTCGCACTCGAGGTCCTCACAGACAAGAACTACTACAGCAAGAACTACGGCAACGCCAATCGCCATGCCGCACCGGCCTCCCTCTTTGATACCAAGACCACCAAGCGGATCCTAGAAGAAATCCTCATGACCATGGAGGGATTTGCCGACAATCCCGTTGTGGTGTCGTCGTCTCTCGGGCTGCTCGGGAATCTCTCGTCTACCACCACTACCACCAGCAAGAGCCAGGCGGGCGGTTCCTTCTCCAGTCCCAACCACGACGATCTCCGACGAAAGCTGGCCAGGTACGCCATTCCCTCCATACTGCACGGAATGAGAGAGCATCGGGACGACGCCGAGCTCTACACGAAGGGATGCAAGGCACTGGCCAACTTTACCCGGGACAATCCTTCGGCCCAGCACCACCTGGCCTGCAAGGAAAACCTGGGACTGAGGATCGTGGCCGAGGGACTGAACCGCGGCGCCGGGGAACAAAACCCCAACGAGCTGGTGCTCTTGCAGAACCTGGGGCTTCGATCGGCGGCCCTCGTGGTTCTGAAGCACCTCTCGACCCATCCCTCCCTCGAGGTCAAGGGAAAGATCGCTCTCGGTGGAGGAGCGGCGAGGATCGTCGACCGACTGCTGCAGGTCTTGCAGCAAACCGGAAAGGAACTCATCGAGAACAACTACCAGGTCGAGCACAGCGGACGCGATTGCGGACGCGATTGCGGAGAGGACGACGAAGACGACGACGACGACGAGGTCGGAATCTCGCTCTCGGTCCTGCAAGACGCCCTCCAAACACTGGAAAACCTCGCCGACATCGAGGGGGTGGTCACCAAGGACGATCCACGATCCCCCCACCTTCCCACGCTGCACCGCTCCCCGCACTCGGCGGCTACCAACTCGGCCGAGGACATCCAGAAGCAGCTCACCAAGGCCGTCAAACCCGTCCTCAACACGGTGCTGCAGCATCCCAACCGGCCCTCGGTCCAATACCGTGGGCTCTGCTGCATCCAGCGCCTCACCCTCGGCCACGCCGACGCGATTGCCAACCACTACGGGGGAATATCGACCCTCCTCAACGTTCTCTCGTCCCCCTCGCCGGAGGCAGCCTTTCTCTCCCCCTGCGCGGGAATCACCGAGTCCGACATCCACCAAAAGGCCCTCGCCTGTCTCACGGGGCTGCTCTCGCCCTCCTCCAACGCGGACGGGCTCGAGCTGGTGGCCTCGATGGAAACCGAGGACGGCCTGGCCACGATCTTCCGGACCGTCCGCATGTACCAGTCCCGGCCGGAGCTCATCTCGTCCGCCTTTGAGGCGCTCTTCTACCTCAGCTGCCGGGCCCGGGTGGTCCTGGCCAGCATCGCCGAGGCCGAGCAGAGCCGGAAGGGGGCTTCCTTCTCCCATTTCTCCCACGGGGCCGAGGCCGAGGCAGCCCGCAAGCTAAGGGACCAGCTGTGCCTGGAAGAAAACGTCTTTGTGCTCGTCGGAACCATCCAGCAGTACCTGCAGGCGGACGAATCTATCTGCCAGCGCGGCCTCGGGATCTTGCTCAACGTGCAGGCATTTCTAATTGCCACGGCGGCCGAGGCGGACGAAGGCGAGCCGCGGCGGCAATCGCAATCGCAACCGCATTCGCATTCGCAACCTCGGTCCCACGCGCCGCCGACGCAGCGCGACGTGCTTGCGTCAAACGGCGGAATCAAGCTGGTCCTCGCGGTCATGAGACTGCACGGCCTGGCGGTGGCCATCCAGGAATACGGCGTGGGGCTCCTGGCCAGCATGCTCGGCAGCGGCAGCAACAACACCAGCAACGGACACACACCAAGGAGCAGGGCGGCCGCCCTCCGCGAGTTTTTTGACGAGGAGGGCATCGTGACGGTCATCTCGGCCATGGTCATCCACCCGGACCACGCCCTCATACAGTCGACGGGCTGCGACGTCCTCATCAGGCTGGTAGTGGTGGACCACTCCCCCTACAACCTGCTCGAGGCCGACCCGGAGGCAACGGCGGAAGCCGCCTTCTACAAGCGGTGCATCCTCGAGGACACGAACGCCCGAGCGGTCGTGGAGGACGCCCTGGAGCGGTTTCCCACCCAGAAGTACCTGCAGCACCGCGGGGCGATCCTCCTTGGGGCCCTGTCGTCTCCCGGGGCGGGCAGCGGCACCGCGGCAAAGGCACGCAACAAGGCGGCCCTCCTGCGAAACTCGGTGACCACGGCGGCGGCGGCCTCCTTCTCCACGGCCCTGAGCTCCTCCAACAAGCTGCTCTCGTCGGTGGCGGCGGCGTCCTCCTCGCCCGTTTCCAGGGGGTAGACCGATCGGCAAACGCCGTAGGCAAAAACGCGTCGAGGCAAACTACCAACACCCCGCGGGTTGTTGGCCCTCGGAAAGCAATCGGCGTGCATCGTCGCGTGCGGAAAACGATGCGAAACAGAATGCGACACGAAGCGAAGCGCTGTCGTCGGTCCTAGCGGTGCCGAGAGCAGAGCAAGCACGACCGAATGCTGTTCTTTGATGCGATCCGGAGCCCGCCCGGACGGACAACAAACCACACGACGCGATGCTACAACCTGCCATTGTTGCCGTGCCGTGCCGTGCCGTGCCGTGCCATGCCATGCCATGCCATGCTTGAACACTTCAGAAGATACTGATTGGTTCTACTTTGAAGTTGAGGACTTCTTAGACTTAGTAGAATTGTTGAGTCCAAAAACCACACCAGCACTACTACTAAGAAATTTTCTTTGAGTTTATGATGATGTTGTAGTAGTGCCCAAAAAGGTTCTCTGGAAAAACACCCATCAGCAATGTATGTGTAGAGAAAAGAAACCCCCTCTCTGACTAAATAATACTCTGATTCAGATTGGCTATTTCTGAGAAGTAACAGAGCAAGCAAGCCTATCTACTTGTTCAAGAAAAGTGGTACTTTTTTTTGCTCATAACCTGTTTAAATATAATAGGACTATTTCCAACAAAATTCTTACTTACTCTCCACAGGACAGAAGACGTACAAAATACGTACGGTACGTACGGTACATCATCAGCAAACAGGAATCCTAAGTTCTATCCACGTTAAAAATGAGAGGTTGTGTGTTAGAATCTTCGTTTCTAGCACTACAAGAAATGTCTGCATCGACATAAGCCCTTTTGACTAACCTTCCCCAACAAAATCGGGAGGATTGAATCTACCGTACCATACGGTAGGAATGATGAATTCATTCCCATGTACAAGTACGAGTACTACTTAACCAAATACTTGTACATAGAGTAGAGTACGTTTTCTTTTTCGTCTTACTGTAAACTATTTTTTTAGCTTATTCTCCACACGTACGTACTTCGAAATTGAATACTTCTGGGAAGTTAAAAACAAAGAAGACTCTGGCCGATTGAGATTATTGTTGCATCCTAGACCGAATTTCTATGAATCTTCGAACACGAAACTCAGCCATTGACCCAGGATCGAGGGTTGACACATTGGGACCAACTGCAGACGCCAATCTTTTGCGTTCCCGGTGACATTTGGATACCTCACGAAAATCCTCCTTAATTGCATTGACGTCGGGTTGTTTTTTGTGAAGTGCTTATCCAATTTACGGGTTGGGAAACATCAATCGAATTTCCAGAAGTAGCGTACCCGTACCGTAGGTTGAAGAGCACCCACTCACCTACTCTACTCACCATCCACTTGACACCTGTCAGCTGTCAACACACTTTTTCGGTACAAGAAACCCCACAAAGATTAAAGATCTCTACTTCGCATGATTCCAATCACATTCATAGCACCATAAAATGTACGTAGTGCCGAGAGCATAAAATCTACTAAGAGCGAGGTATTCAGCAGCGACCAGAGCAACTCGACAGAGTAGCAGTTCGTTTTTTTGCTATTCTTCCGGTGGTTTCGAGTAAGAAAAAGTTGCAACAAAGTGCTCATTGTTGGAACCTTGCAAGCTTGTAACCACTCCCAACACATTGCTTCGGCGGTGCTATAGTATCTCAATTTGATTGTTTGATCTCTTTTTCCTCCAACTCTGCCAACGAAAACCAATCGAATATGATTTTTTTAATCACAATGAAGCCCAGGGAAACGGACGAGCTTTGATAATATTGCGAAAGAGAAATGAGAACATACACTACCGCGAGCGTCTTCTTTTCCTCGAAAACAGCATTCTTGTATCTATCGGTTTTCTTTTCTACGGTTACAATCACCAAAGCTGCTGGCGGGTTGTCTTCTACCAGCAGCGGCACGTCGACCCCCTTTGAGTATTTGGAAAACGATCTGAAAGCATGCGCGTACCAATTGAAGTCAGGAAAAGAAATCGGGGAACACACCACCGTGAACATTTGCCTCTCACTCTACGAAAGATTTTTGGACCACTACGATCGCGATGGAAACGGAAATGGGGCAGCGGGGTATTCTCATTTCACGAAAACGGTACATTTCATACACCAACACAACCACAAGTATCCATACGCGAGCCATAAACTTCGGTTGAATCAATTTGCGGACACCTCTAAGTCCTATTTACAATTGGATGATCCATCTGACCAACCAATGGGGAGCGACGACGGAGAGAAGTACAGTCAATGGCAGATAGATCTTGAGAATTTTTGGGAGCTTCATCACGGTGAGAGGGAAGACGATTCCAAATCGGAGGAAGAGATGGAGAAAGATGATTCTGCCAATGAAGGACGGAGCCGAAAACTGCGCTGGGGAGAAGTCGAAGTTCGTCTCTTGGGGACTTCGTCGAGCATTAGAGCTGAAAATGAATACAAGGAACAGCAACAAACACAGCTCCGACAGAGGAAACAGCAGCACCAAAAACATGATTATCGGGAGGAAGAAGAGGAACCCGATTCCCGCCGCTCTCTCCTTGAGGAATTCATTGCTCCCTCCTTGTCTTCCAAATTGCAGGTTGTCGCCGATTCGAGACACAACACCAAGGTCATTATGCCAGGCGACGGGACCAACGCGCCTCCAAGATTTTCGAGCCCACAGGTGCCAAACAAGCTGATGGGGACGGCGGTCGAACTTCACAAGGGAAGAAAATCCGATCCCATCACCGGTGCCCACCTCTTCGACGATGATCCTCCACAGCAACATGAATTTTCAAAATCATTGGATTGGTCCACAGAGCATAATCCCGACGGCGTTCCGCTCGTCCACAGTGTCTTTGACCAAGGGATTTGTGGAAGCTGCTGGGCCTTCGCAGCAACAGGAAGCGTTGAAGCCAGTGCGGCCCGGAACTTTGCACGAAATCACTTCGTGAAGGGTTTGATCGAGATTGACGAGGAACTAGAGGGCATAAGGAAGATGAAAGGAGGAGGTGCTTACGACGATGATTTCGGCGACGACGAAGATGATGACATGGGCAGAAGGGGAAAATACCACGCGCTAGTGGAAGAATTTACCACTGATTCTATGAGGGTCGAGGCAGAAGTCTTTGAAGAGTTGAACCTGAGCATCCAGGAATTGCTTGACTGTGATGTCTCGGTCGATGAAGGATGTGTTGGTGGCAATCCCCTTTTGGCCTTTTATTACATCCACAAACACGGATTAGTACCATGGGCCGAATACCCGTACGAGGGATACGACCGGACGAAAGCTCCGCAAAGAAAAACCTCTATGACGACAATGAAGTTGGGAAACAACGGAGGCACAATTCCAACTCTAATCGAAGTCCCCCAAACGGAGAACGGACAAGTTGGGAATTATCCCTCCCAACAAGCAACGTCCAATAAAGAGCACCAAGCTCAATTGAACAATAATGCGTATACACCATCATGTCATAAAGATAAAGTCACCAATCCTATTGCAACTGTTGAAAGCTGGGGTCTTTTGCACAAGAATCATGAGGACCTGATAGAAAATGCCCTATTGTACGTCGGCCCGGTTGCTGTAGGGATTAACGGTGCCGATCCATCGTTTATCAACTACGGAGGAGGAATTTTCGATAGCCCGAATTGTGACCAAGCCGCAAACCATGCCTTGTGTGAGTAGTCATCAAGTTTAGCACCTTACTCTTTCCTCTTAGTTCGATATTTGTTTTTTGACTTTTCCTTTATGATGTTCAGCCTACTCACCACTCGCATCCGCCCCCATCCTTCCCGTATTTTATAACATAGTGATCGTTGGATATGACGAAGAAACTATTACGATGGCGAGCGGAGAGATGAAAACCGTCCGCTATTGGATTGCCCGTAATTCTTGGGGAGAGGGCTGGGGCGAGAATGGTTTTGTAAGGGTCAAGCGGGGTTCAGGCGGGAAGGGGATCCCGGGTGTGTGCGGGATCGCACGAAGCCCAAGCGTTGCACTCGGGGGGATTTACAGGCGAGACCGGACGGAACCTCTAAAAAATAGAGACACGTATAAGACCACCTCTCGGTACCGCAAGGACAAATACGTCTCGTCGTATGATACTACAGCAAGCCTTGATATTCAAAATAGGAAAAACCACCCAGATTGCTATTCCTCATTTGCTGGAAATATTGAATTTGTGTCCAAAGGATGCGTAAAATTGTCAATGTACGTTCAAATTGATTGAAGTGTCTACAATTTGAAATTGGCAGAGCTATTTCATTATAAAATTCCTCGGTCATAACAATCCAAACGATTTGTGTATCTCACACTGTAATCATTTCTGATCCCATCGATCCTTCAGAGCGTACGAAAGGAATCAAACCATATTTTTGACCACTATTTCCCTGCTAGTGGCTCTCATCGCTATAGTGCCTCTGGCGTTGTCGTTGTCTCGACAGCACCGTGTGGCCAGTGGAAATGGGTCGATTCGACTGGAATACTGTGAGGACGAGCACCGATCCCCAGAAAGATTGAGCAACAGGAGTTTGTCGTTTCAGTCGACAATGTCGGAACGCACCCACCTACTTACGCTGAAAGATATGTATGCGGGCCGACGAAAACAGGAAGAAGAAACAAGCCGTCCGAGGGGTCGGAGCATCGTGATAACCTCATCCACACAAGATCCTTTCCGGTTGGAACCGTCGTCTACTATAGAGCACTCTTCGGACGACTCCAGAAGTGAAGCAGGTGTTTCGGATCATTGAAAAAAAAATGTTTACGTGAATTGAATGAGGTAGAGATATCTATGCTAAAATTTACTACAGTACTTTTCCTTTTTTTGCCAATCCATGTACACCATTCTATCTTTTGTCTGGACTTTCAGACATGGAATCATATGCTTTGAACAAACATTTGTCCTGCATCAATTCTTGAATGCCGCCTTACGTTGTCAGCATTCGTGTACATTGGTCATTCTATGACACTGGACTCCACCTACCAATGCCGGGTTACAAAATATAATTACAGGGTGCAGGTCGACAGGGATCCTCCCTTGCAGCCCCATACGCCACTACTGCCACAAGTACAGGTCACGGTTCCAAGTGTATCTGGAACTGGGTTAGGTGTGTTGTAACAACACTCGATTTCATAAAATCCTGCGGTTGTACAGGTGTCCCCTATCATCGGTGTCGTATTCGGGCACATAGGTTCCACATCGTCTATGCGGGAAATGATGACATCGGCCCCAGGTAGGAGAGGTGGAGCTTGGAGCTCGGTTTCTTTTTCAATGACGGTGGTCAAGTCCTCCTTCTCGGCAGAAAATCCATTACTGACAATTGTTCCGGTACAGCTATAGACAAGTTGTTCTAGGCTGCAGGCGCACATTACATTGGGACCCAATTCATAATACGAGCATTCCTTAAACTTAAAGTCACCGATCATTTCACATTCCGTGCCACTTCTGGGGTACACAGCGGGACAGTTTACCTTATCCGTATAGATATCGTCCTCGTCCTCCGACTCAGCCACTTTGGCAGCTTCGATGGGTGGAGGGGTTCTAATTTCCGACGATGGAAAGTTATCTTCGGTGACAGTGGCTTGGCCAGGATTGTTAACTTTCCATCCACAATTAAAGAATGACAAAAGTTCTTCCGTTGAACAACGCTCGCAGTACTGTCGTTTACATGAATTGACTCCACTGGCGGCATTGGTAGGGGTGGTCGAAGTCGTCGAAAGAGCGAACAAACAGCTCTCGCAGATGTAATGGGTGTCCGGGCTGCAAGTGTTGATGGCCTTGTCTTCTCTTGCACAAGCACCGATCCAGGTATTAACCGTGGGTTTCGGGGGACCCGGAACCGGGGTAGGAGCAGGGTTTACGGGGATGTTGAATCGACCGGCGATGGTACCAGAGGATGCGCTCGGGATAAGCCTTTTATTGTCCTTACATTTCTTGCCTTTGCCTTTGCCTTTACCTTTTCCGTCACGGCAATTTCTCCCTTTTTTCCTGAGCTGTCTCTCGGTGTCTTCCTGTTTGATCGTGGAGGTAGCCAGTGAATCCAACTGTTGGTTCCTGTTGACGCCGCGGATTCCGTTCGATGCGGCATCGATAGGTTCGGGTGACGCCAAAAGGAGGAGTCCCGCGAACACCAAAGGTAAGACTTCCTTGAGAATGACCACCATTTTTCACTATTGGTTCAGAACAATGATACTTTGAGACAACTGTGACGAAGTCTGATATGACGCTTTCTAATGTCTGATATGCAGTTTTGTGCCGCTCATGATATCTCGAAGCAAAGAAATTTCCAAGTACGGTAAGATGCGAGTTCTCGCAGAAAAAGTAATATGCTGTTTTGTACCTCACGGTACGGCGATTCATTCCGCGGTCTCTAATGAGGACATGCCATTCGCTTTTTTCCGTTATTTTTCCGATCCAGCCGAGGTTGACGTACCCTGAATCGTGGTAGGCAACTTAAAATATGACTTTTTGTATGGCCCATTTGAATCACGACCTCATTCGTACATACTTTGTGTTTGATATGGTCGTTTTTTTCTACGTCAAATTGCGACGTCGGCACGAAATCCCGGAAAAAGTTTTTGACCGTTATGTTGTCCGAAATTTAAATTTTAAACGCATCCGTTCTTGTATGCCAATGAAATTAAATATTGAAAGTGAAAGAAGCGAACCTTTTACTCCACCATCTGCATCATCCGATCTTCGAATTTTTGAATTTTCATCCACGAGACAAGTAGAAGTACAAAGGAGCAGTCTTCAGTTCTCACGTAACCTTAAGTAAAGCGTAAGGGACCAATCGATATTCGCTACCCCCGCAACGGCAGAAGTGTGGCTGAAAAGAGACAACAACGCAAACCAACCACGAAAATACAAGTACGAATTGTGTTTTCCAAGGATTTACTTCGATAGACGACCATGGTCATCACCATGGCCACTTGGAATCCCAAAAGAAATAATTTCACGCTATGCTGTTTTTTCTTGGCACTACTTCTAGAACCCCAAACCATTCTTTCTTCTGGTTACAAGGGACGGGTTCTGCGTGGAAGCATCGACGGCCAGGAAAAGAAAGTTTCCGGCAACCGTACGCTAAAACAAAAAATGGTCGCCAACAAGAAACGCAATAGTAAGAAGAGACAAATCAGCAAAATCGCAACCTCTACACGTCCCGTTCCCAAGCCTAGCCCTGTTCAAAGCAGCACCATACCCGTTGTCCTTCCCGCTCAACCCACTCCCAGTCCTATCCCTGCTTTGGGTAGTACAACACCGGGAGTCCTTCCCTCTCCATCTGCAACTAATGCTATTCCTGTTGCGGGCAGCGTCACACCCGTTGTCCCCCCCACTCCGCCAACTCCCAGTCCTTTTGCCAACCTTTTCACCGCCGCTCCTGCTCCCGTTGCCCCCAATCTCCTCACAGCGTCCCCGATTCCGTTCGCGATTGGGCCAAGAATACCCGTCGTGAGCCGAACAGAGACGGAGCCCAGCGGTGGTGAAGGACCTTCCGGAACGATGACCGACTCATCAACTTCAGAGGAAAGCAGCAGTGGCAGCACTTCCTCTACCACCTGGGGATTCGCTTGGGATAGTGCCTGTCCAGAAGAAGCATCGCAGCTAGAAAAGTGTATTGGGAGCGGGAAGATCACCATTGACGATTGCAAATCCTGCATCGTATCAGCGTCGTTCATGTCGTCTACTGACTACATGATGAAGGCGTGCAAAACACAGTTTTGCAATGGATGCGATGGCGGCCAATATTTAGATTGTGCGCAAGCAGCGAACATCCAAAAGTTTCCTGTCGTGAACGGTGGTGCAACACTCATTCGGGAGAAGGAGTTGCCCGAAGACGGCAGTGATTGACGATGATTGAGTCATCGTTCTGCAGAAGAGGGGAGGGAACAAACCTATTTGTGATAACGACGTGAGGAATTTTTTTGGGGTTACCTCCTTAAGCAGTTTGAACCAAACCACAGCAACTCTTTTCTGCATGGTAAGTGGCGTCAACTGTACCCGAAGCGAGGGCATCACAAGTACACTTTGAAGCTATCTTGTTGGGGTCCTCCGGTGAAAATGAGCATGGACCAATACGTCAAGCCACGACAACTTCATAGATGACAAAAATAGAATGTGTGTTAGACTACTACAGTACATCATAGGCATTAAAAACTAGAGCCTAAAGTGCCGCATTACAATGTATCCGAAGTTGGCTTGCACTAACTCACTAGGACACCCAGCATAAGCACTCACACCGGCATCAACGCCAGCAGACATCTCTAATGCTGGAACTACAAATGGGTAACATTGTAACGACAAAGGTCTGTGAAAGACTATTGGATGTGGATAGCCTTGCTGATGTTTTCATAGTATGACTCCCATCCGTTTTGTTGAAATTAATGCAAGTGAAATTATTAGCATTCTGCACTTTTTGCCGTTCTACTTTTTTGCTAGCTTCATATCTTATCATGCTACCAAAGTATCATTTTTTGGCAACCATGGTGGAGTTTCTTGCCTACAGATATTTGTTCTTGTTATCACTATTTTCAGTAGTACCACTGCTAGTACCAGTGGTTGTTGACGTTGTTGCAATTGTAATAAATAGTAGTGGTACTAGTACTACTAGTACTGTAGTACCCAATATCACATTCCCAACCACAGTAATGGAAGTAGTATTGGTGCTGGTGTTACTTGTATGTATGTCATAATTTCTTTTTTTGGTGCAGGTGGTCTGCCAATCATTATTCTAAATGGAGCTGAACTATTTGTATTGATAATGTACTTCTACTATTGTATTGTATAGAGTGCTGGTGGGCACCCAAATCCATGCACCAGTCATAGATTTTTGGCCCTCATTTTTGCAACCAGTAAATCCTACATTTTCTCCTGCCCACTCAATACAAAAGAGTGTGCAAACCAAATAAGGTTCTTGGAACTGTAGCATATATCCTGTTATAATTTTCCAACCATCCAAATGAGTTGAACCTTACTTCATTTGTGCAGTTACTTTTGTACTCTTAATGTATGCAACCTTGGGTTTTGGTCCCTCTGCCTTTTTACTAGTAGTAGCACCATGTAATGACTAATTTGACTCAATATTTTGCACCTGTTCAAGCCAAAATTGTTTGGTGAGCACATACGCCCCAAACCCAACTTATGGGGGGTTAAAAATTCAGTATAATATGCAAATACAGCTGTTCTACTAGTAGTAGTGCATATCAGTTTTCAAGTCAAAGTAGTAATTGCACATGAAAAAAGGGACCAAAATCCAAGGTTCAAACCTTAGATTTGAACACCAACTCTGTCATCACACAATACCATACTAGTAGACTACTAGCTAGAAAAGCAATATCAAATAAGTCCATCTAACATGTTAGGAGGCTTCTTCCAGGGGGCATTGTGAGGTGTAAAAGGATAAGTTTGCTATTTTTGAAGATTTTGCTCAGGTCCCACAACAAGAGCCACGTCTAACTAAATCCATGATAAAAGGCCTCACTTCTTGCAATGCCACATGGGCTGTTTACACTTCTAGTCAAGAATAGTACTGAGTGTCAATGAAAGGGGTTTTAGGTTTAGTAGTAGTAGATCAATTGCAATAGAAAGGAAATGATGAAACTGCACCATGAAGTCTAACAATTTGAAAGGAGTTCTTGTTGGAAAGCCCTGAATTACTCATTCATCTTATGTATGCAATTGTAAGGAAACTTTGATGAAATGAGTACTGAGAGACAAGATTGGGCATTACTACTAACAAGAAATATTCAAAACAAAATTGGGGGAAATACTAGTGGTAGTTGCTTGAAGATAATATTTCTTGCTACAATTTTGTTGATAGGAGCACTAGGAGTACTAGTAGCAGTATGCTCCAAAGCCAGGCAGTATCTGTCACCAGCACTATTTTACTACTAGTACTACACTCCCCTTTTTTTGTTAAACAAGCTACCTGCAGAAGAGTATTCTAGAGCATACTCAGTAGTGCATTAGGGTTGGAGTTGGAACTAATTTCATGATAGCAGCAGTATGACCATGCGCCAAAATATGAGTTCTTAGCTGATTCAGAAATGACACCAGCATCAGCTGCAGCTGCTGCAAGGAACAAGTATTGGTGAACAGATACAAAGCTTGGTGTAATATGCAGTGCTACTAGCAACTTGAATGAAGTATTTTTCTCCTGCTACAAATTTGTTGATAATGGCACTACTAGTATGGACTAGTAGTAGTAGTAGTAGTAGTAGTAGTAGTAGTAGTAGTAGTAGTAGTAGTAGTAGCAGCAGTGTGCTCCAAAGTCAGCCAAGAACTATCAACAGCACTATTTTCCATTTCTCTCTTTTATACTGCTGGTGCTGCTAGTTAACGGACGACTACTACTAGTAATAAAGCTACTACCTCTACTAGGAGAGTATTCTGGACCTATGCTGTAAGTTGTATTTAAAACTATTTTTTTGTAGCAGTATGCTTCAAAGAATGCATAGCACTAGTACTACTTCTAGTAGTAAACTTCTAAGTAACCTATACTACTAGTACTAAGCAGCCATGACTTTATAAAAAGAAAACTACTGTTAGCATTTTTCTCTGTTATCTCTAGACCAGTTTTTCATGCGGATTCCAAATACTACTATGCCATTTTGTTCAGTAGTAGCAAATCAATTTTTGGCATACCCATCAACTCTTCCTAGTAGTAGTACCTTCAGAAAGTTGCAAGTAAATAAGAAGTTCACTTCTAGTTGCAGCAAAATGAAAAAGCAGTCTAGTACTGTGAGTGTTTGCTCTTGTACATCACTTTGCTGATACAAATTTTGACCAAGTTACTATTTCAATCATCATAAACTGAACTTTTTCACTGATGAAGGAGAGACCATTTCATATTACTAGTACTACTCCTGTTCTTGCAGTAGTATTGTTAATACTAGTATTAGTAGTACTACCTTGTCTGCCCTCTCACCAAATATGAGACATCATAACCATATTTTCCTTTCCTCAATAGTATGTATTACCAATTTTAAATTCGTGCTTCTTTTGGCAGTGTATCACCAATTTTAAATTCATGCTTCTTTTGGCAGTTGAACTACTAAGGAACCAACCATGTAGAATGCATACTACTACTACTACTAGTAGTAGTAGTAGTAGTAGTAGTAGTAGTAGTAGTAGTAGAGGAAGAATTGGTATCAGAGACAAAAAAAATTCTGCATATGCCTGATCAAACAAGAAATGTTGTTGAACATATGAAATTACACCAGTAGCTACTATGATATCAACTATCATTTTGAACAAGAATAATTAATACTAGTACTGCCACCAGTAGTAGTAGTAAAATATACTAGTACTAATGCATGCATACAACTAACTACTAGTATGAATATTATAGTCCAGCAAAATAAATATCCCAATTTTTTGCTGCAATTCTGGATGTTACATGACTGGTGCTGGAGAGCTTTTCCCTGTATCCATTTCTGCCCCTCTCCCCACATCTCTAAATATTTCTATTACTAGTACTAGTAGTGCTGGTCCTTCCAACTACTCGTGGAATTTAGTACTTACTACTATTAGTACTACTTGAGAATTTCCATCATTGAAGTCTCACAGAACCAACAGAACCCCCAAACCGCCCACAACCACCAGTTTCTTGCAGTGCTCATGAATATCATAACATCCCCAGCAGCCACTAGTTGTAGTAAGCTTTAATGGAAATTTTCAAGTAGGAAACACTGAAATTAAGTCCCCAGTAGTACTGGTAGTAAGGACCACTCAGAAATATTTAGGGACCAGCAACAATTTGATATTTTGAAGCAACTTTTGAAAACTTTGAAACTGAACCTAACAATTGGCAAACATTTGGAATGTGAAATTAATGTTCTGAACCCCTTGCAGCAATTACTACGTGTAAAATAACAATTGAACTTTTGTTAATTGAGGCATTGGGAACAATGTTAATTTAACATTCGGAATGTTAAATTTTTCGTTTAGGCCTACGTAGATCCTACTACTAGTATTATCCACATTCTTCAATTGGTAGCAAAACAGTCTTGCACATGCCTAAAATGGAAGAAGGGATCTAAAAAAGACAAAGAAGAGGACGCCTCCCCTGCTAATATTCAGACTGTTAAGCAAAGCATTCAGGACGTTAAATTGAAGCAAAAAATACAGTACTCATTTCTAGGCAGCCTACGCTGGTGTAACATTTGGAACGCCCAATTGTTGATTTGATACGCTGCGACGTACGAAGTCTTAAAGAGCATAGAGATAACCCTGTTGACTAGACAAAATTATTAAAGAGTGAGTACATCTCACCCTGACTACATTTTACTTTTGGGCCTTGTAAATCTCCATGTGACAAATAAACCAAAATTTTGGCAACCCTGGCCATAAATTGTGACATTTCGTACTGGACAGAAGCATAAAATTGATAAAAGCCGGCGTGTCGGACGCATTCTCGACGTCTGTTCGTCAACACCAATGGCTCAATTGAAGAAAGTTCAATTGTTATTTTACATTTTACGCGTAGTAGTAGAACGCTACCTTCTTCAGTCTGTTCCACAAGATAAGATCGTGGCACTGGCACTAACGACACTCAATTTCTGACGTCGTTCCTTCTTCTTAGGATCACTAGAAGTGGAAGGAAGAGATCAAGAGACTGATCCCGCACATGAGCAGGAAGAAGGAAAGAATGAGCCGGATGTTGTTTCGAGAATCCTTCATCAGGTCAAAGAGCTTGGTTCCGACAAGGACGCCCAGGATCGACGAGACCACGACGCAGAGGTAGAGGACCAGGTCGCTCTCTCTGAAGTAGGATTCCTTTGTTTCCAGGACGAGTGTCTCGACCACGTAATATGCTACGCGCATAGCGACGTTGGTCGCGGTGATGACGGCGCCGGTGGCCCGCTGTGACTTCTTGTCAAAGGTCACCGGGTAGGGGGGGTGGAGGAAATACAAGATTACCGGGGGACCGCGGATCCCGCAGATGCCACCGAGGAATCCGCTGAAACCCCCCGCAAGCAGGGTCCAGAAGCTGGCCCAGGGCCCAATGGCCCGCGGACCTTCTTCCAGGGAACCATCTCCGCTGTCACTGCCGGTCGGCACAATCAGGTGGAGGTTCCCGTCTCCGTGGTGGTGGTGGAGGTGGTTGTTCCCCGCGGTTTCGCCCGCCGTTGCGAGGGGATCGATTTCCCGGAAGGCGACCTTGCTGGGATCCAAAAAGACGACGATCGCGGTGATGTCGTCCATGTAATCGCTGTTGCTCTTCCATCGCTTACTGGCCTCGCGGATGAGGGCTTCCGCCGCTCGGCTCGGGCACGCCTCGGCGCAGGCGATTCGAACGCAGGTGTCTTGGTCCATAAACTCGGTGACGCCGTCGCTGGCGAGGACGACGACGCGATCGTTTTGATTGAAGGAGTGCTCGAATAGTTCCGGGCGGGCGACGACACCCAGTTTGTGGGCCATTCCGTCTCCAATGGTACGGGTAAAGGCGCACCCGGGGACTTTTGCGCTCTCGTCCGACCAGATGCGAAGGGGCTCATGGTCGTCGTCCCGGGACCGATCCGTGCGCAGCATTGGCGCGAGTCCATCGCGCTGGTCGGCGGTCATGACCACGCCGCCCGCTCTCTCGATGCGGCTTCGTTCGTCGGCACGGTTCGGTGTGTGTGGCGTGCAAAGGGTCTTGGCCGTTATCTTCGGTGGATGCTCCCCACAAGATTCTTYCCATCCGAGGATGAACGACGAATCACCGACGTTCGAAACAATGCACTGGTCATCCATCAGCAWCAGCGTTCCAGCGGTTGTACCCGACAATTCGGTTTCGATTTGGGGATTGGCGATGAGTCGATTGTGAACCGTCACATGGGCCTTTTCCAAGGCCAACGGAAAACTTTGCCCGGTAGCAATCCTCTTTTGAAACTCATTTGGAATTTCCTTTCTTGCGAATTCGGAACATTTRTGCCCTTGTGTTCCGTGTCCGTCATATACGCTAAACCAGTGGACATCACCTTCCTCGGTGCTAGCGGTCTGGGCGATCCAGTCGTCTTGGTTGGGCTTGTCGTGGTTGTCGGGATAATACCCACGCTGTGTGCCACAGGCCCATCGAAACCGAAGGCCGCTTTTTGTGGTGCATGTTTTCTCTGCTGTAATGTCCCTCCGTTTGAGCAGCTCGTCTTCGTTCAGGATCTTTTGGATGCCGGTGGACACGATCTCRTCGAACGAGGCGTCTGTTTCCACCCAGACTTCCGGCTTGTAGACGGGCACCATAGCAAGAGCAGCGGCTTGGTATWTGCGCCGGGCCAGGTCATCGGGATTTTCTCTGCCGAGGTCTTCGTTCATTTTCGAGATGCCCTCCTGGTTCAATCGCTCAAAAACAGCGAGGTCCGCGTCGTTCCATACCGAGGGCTTCGTCGTGACGCCTACGAGGTGCGGTTCGTAGCCAAGTGTCTTCATCGTTTCATGGGCAACGGTCTCAAGAATCTGGATAGCGTCCTCCTGAAGCCCGGTGTCCGGATGACGCCATTTTTCGAATTGGCTCGCAAAAAAAGAGATCCCCCGTGAAAGATTCATGAACTGGGACGATAAGCGGTGGGCCTTTAGGGATTCTCTGCCCTCTTTGGCGAGAGCTACAACATTTTCGACGGATTCCATGTACATGACACTAGCGGTTCGCTTCACACCTCCAAAACGGCGTTCTCCGATGAAGTCGTACAGATTCTTCATCTCTCTCTCCCTGTCTTCCAAGATATCTTCATAGTGCAACTTGTAGATTAGCTCGGGACATTCTTTGACAATTCGAAGTGCACAAGCTTGCAACTTGGTCCATTTCGTTACGATCGCGTGCCAGTGGCAATCGCCGACCGGGGTTTTCACGAAAGACATAGCGACGTCACGAGGATCCCGAACAAGGTAGATGTAACGGAGTCTCTTTGAACCATAAAATTCGAGAAGTATGTCATGGTATTGGCTCATCCCCATACTCTTGCACACCCACAGGCGCTTCCCATTTACTTTTGTAAAATATGTCATGATGGCGTCGAAGATGCTTAAGAGATATATTCCGTTACAAATTGGTGTTTCGTTTCGAAGSGAATGTCTTGCATCTTTCACTCGGTTGCAAGATTCAAGTGCACATTTGTAYACAATGGGACGGAGAAARTTTATATTACAGCCGTGCTTATCGGTCCAAGGGACCTGATTTCTTTCCACAAAAGTGCAGACATGATCCAAAAGAATCCTAAAGCTCTCGTCGTCGGAGAGATCCCCAAATTTGTCAATGATTGGCATGAACTCCCGCATAATGTGTGGTGGATGGGGGCCTCCGAGATCTTCGCGCTCGTTCAACATGGTCCTCAACCAGTTCGATCCAGAGCGCTGAGATCCGACCATGAAGAACACTGGCGTCGTCTCGTCGACGATTCTTTCCGCGCATTTGTATTCATCCGAAAACCAAGGATTGCACTGTGCCTCTTCCGACGATAACCGTGTTTCAGGATCCGAAACAAGAAGAGASGTGATGAATTCCTTCGGTGAATCGTTGATGTCTTCCCAGAATTCCTCATCAAAGWCGTATTTTCCTCTCACGATGGCAATTTGTACTTCTTGTTCCGATTCCCCACGAAAAGGCTGATATCCAACCAGCATGACCCAGCATATGACACCAAAGCTCCACATATCGACTTTGCATCCATACGGTGTTCCTTTCAAGATCTCGGGGGCGACATAACCTGGTGTACCACATAAAGTAACGAAAGAATTGGGACGTACTTCCTTCTTAGAAAAACCAAAGTCAGCGAGCTTGACTTCGCAGTCAGCATCTCCCGATGCTAACAAGATGTTTTCTGGCTTTAGGTCGCGATGAGCAATCCTATGGTCGTGCATGTAGCGGACTGCTCCAAGAACATCCTTCGCGATGCGACGAGCTTCAGCCTCCGAAAAGAATCTGACGCCGCTCAAACGCGCCAATAAATCACCACCGTGCATTAAATCGAAAACAAGAAAGTACTTCTGAGGTTCATCATACAAATCTTGAAGATAGAGGATGTTCGGATGATTCAAYTGTTGCAAATGAGTAATTTCTTCTTGYAATTGCTCGGCTTCGTCGTCGAGTAGATGAGACTTGTCAATRATTTTGATGGCAAATGACTTCCTAGTACATTTCTTCTTCGTGCCTAGTTTTACAACGGAGAACGATCCATTGTCGAGGGTCTTGCCAAGATTGTACTGGCCGAAGAAACCACCCTCTGGAGTATGCAAYAATGATGCATCGTTTTCCGCATTAGTTTCTCCATTGTGATCATTCATCAACARCACATTTTGGCCCGATGTATCTCGAGAGATGTTGGTCGATGTTTCTTCGCCCGTATCGCGAGATTTCGGATTTTCCTCGTCAACCGGCTCTTTCTTTTCTTCCTCATTCCCCACACTGCAGCACCACTTTCGGAAGCGCTTAGCGAATAGTTTGCGTTTTTGATACATCTCGAAGACCGCCACGAACGTGACAAGAAAACCAGCAACGATTTCGATTAGATCTGTAGAAATTGCATCTCCCGTAAGCTGACCGAGTGGAGTAGAAATGATAGTAATTGGAATGAAGTAGTGAAGGATTTTCCACGATGCGTGCTTCGTGATTTCCGCTTTCCGTAGGAGCAGAGGCTGCGCACTGAAGAGAGCGAGAGCTTGGATGAACACTGCGTACCTCAAATTGCCATCGTATCCGGCAAGCACAATTATCTGATAGACAAACAAATAAATGATGGCCATRCCAAAGCCAGTCAACGCAACCCCCACATTTCCAAGGAAGGATGCAATAGATAGAACGCACACATCTACTACCTTGCCCATTACGTTTTGACGTCGCTCGCACAATTGGTAGATTCTTTTTCAATGACTGGTTATGTGTTACCAACTTGGAGTAGGTCTTGTGCTCTATTTGGTGATAGAAATGGCCGATCGGATGGCACGAAGCCATAAACGCAGATGTGGTAACTAAACCGAGTTATTATCGCGTTCGGAGATCGTAAATCTCACCAAGAACTACGGTAGGTTTAAAAAAGAACTTACCAAATCGCTCAAAYACAAACTCTGTGTACGGTACGTAGGAGATTTGCCATCGCACTGTACGGGCKAAAGGAATCGTGTGGCTTTCCCATTTGCAGGATGGTACACCAGTATCATACCGTTTAATATTGTATTTGTTGATTAATGGTTCAGCTAGTTTTTATCACGCATAGATGGAATCCGAATCGAATCGGACATTCCATCAATAACGTGGCAACTTCTGGCACAAGTATTATTTGTTTAATGAAACAACTTCTAATGATATATTGGAAGAAAGACGTTCATGCCCACGAACAGAAGAACGCTCTCAGACGTTCCGTTAAATAAGTGAGAGAGTTAAATGCGAAACGATCCCATTGGATCATTCCCAATAAGCTTATTTTTGCACTAAACAGATCTATTAGTCTGTTATACAGTCATGTAGATTGAATATGGTCAATGTGTCTGACGTACTTGCAATAGCTACTGAAAGAGGGCTCTTTTTGGCATAATATATATGTGATTTTACCGTCAGTTGGGTTCTACTGGTCTGTTTCTGATGGGAACGGTTTATTTAAAAAAACCAGACTGAGAGCTTTTACATGATGTACTTATCGTATTCATTGAGAATGTTCTTGTGCAGTCTTAGTTGGTCAAAAGAGAACCCAAATATTGCTCGGGCACTTATTCGTAGCACGTGCTGTCACGTGCTGTTTTTTTATCTGCGCATTCTCACTTTTAATTTTTATCTACAGTACTGATTCTACGTGTTGAACATGTAAGTAGTACTGACCAATTATTACTGGACAAATTGAGTACTGCATTTTGTCCTATTATTGTGGGACGGAGGTAGTAGTACGAGTACGAGGAACGAAGGCAACTTCAACCTGTCACACTGAGGGAAAAAAACTACTACGAGTTTCGTAACAATTGAAACCGGACTCCGCCAGAGAGCAATAAGTAATAATTTCAAGTTCTAAACTTTGATTTGAAGTTATTGGGCCCTCCGGAACCAACGCGCGCGCGTCCCCCCTTTGAAATCTAATATCGGGGGTATGATTTCGTGGGTTTTTTTTTCCAAACAATAACCCACGTTTCTAAAACGTGGGTTTTTTT